CCAAATAAAAAAAAATGAATATTGTGGAATATTCATAATATATGGTCCTTAAAAATCTAATGGTGTAAATTTATTAATTTGCACTTCTTTTTCTAAAGCAGAATAGTTATATCCACCATTCTTTTCATCTAAGAATGAGGTTTTGTCGAATGTTATATTGAATGAACTAAAGGCAATTGTGTCATCTCCATAATTCAAGAACCTTGAATTACCAAATTTAAAAACATCATAAGGAATAAAATAGTACCCACAATATTTAGTATTCTCTACTGACACCACTGGAACAAATAACTTTTCTAATTCTTGATATGTTGTTGGGTCAGTAATAACTTCTTCTACTGTATTTGATCCGTCCTCCCATACCATAAGATAGAATTTTGCTTGACCTTCTTCTGAATTGGTGTATCTTATTTTTACCATTGGGGCAGATGTATAAATCACTTGAACATTCTTTTCTGATTGTAAAGCAAATCGTAATTCCTTTCCTTTATTCTCTTCTCTTGCACAATAATCAAATCCAAGTGCTGTAGCATATTCCATATTCTTTGCCATTTCAGAACATTTTAAGATAGTACCATCATTATATCGTTGTAATTGAACAATTCTATAAAATCCATTAGCACATTCACTTGCATTCATTGATTGTTTAAAACATTCATAATCAATTGGAATCCAATTTTGGTATGTTCCAAAATTAGGACAAAGAGCATCTTCTTGGACAGTAGAATGATTAGACATCCAATACCCAGCACTATGTCCAGTAAATCCCCAACTATTCTTTACAATAAATCCACCTTTAGAATATTCATTTATCTTACGATGTTGAGCATTTCTATTAATTCTAAAATCATCATTCCATCCGACAATCAACATAGAATGAACTCCTGAAATGTATGACTTTCCAGTAATATCAAAAACTCCATTATTATCAAATGATGATATTTCTATCTCATAGCAATAATCTCCTTCACATGGAATTCTCTTGTTGACACAATCCGCATTTTTTGTTTGATCACTAAGTCTTGAACATTTTGTTCTAAAGACTTTATTATAAACTCCATGTGTCCATGTAACAGGTAATTTAGTATTAACAAGTAAATTTTTTACATCTGAAATAGAATATACAGTAGTAATGTTATTAACAGTAAATTGTACTGGGTTAGACTCTAATGTCTTATTCAATTCTGGACAAATATCCCATTGATCTTCTGTTGGTTTATATGGACAAACATTCTCTGGTACTGCCCATTTATTATTTACATCTTTAAAATAATACAACCACTCAGGAAGTCCATCAGAAGCATTATGAGAACGCTGTCCGTTTGTACAGTAAGGACTTGGATTAGGTACAGAACATGTATCAATCATCTTAATTCCAAAAACTTGTTCGCTAAAAGAAACATATGAAGTTAAAGAATGACCATGATTCTTTTTAGCTTCAGAATTATAGGCAGACTCTAAGAACCCAGAAGTAACAAAAGACCAACAAGTTGAACGAGACCCTTGGTCTTTGGCTGGAGTTAATGCTTCCCATGGAATAATGAATTTGACAGGGACTTGACTTACAGTGTTATATGTTGGTTGTTCAAGATCTTCCTATGTCAATGTTAGTTATATTAAATGAGATGAAACAAACCAACAAACAATACGAGTATTAAGATGAACAAAAATTCCTACATAAACACACAATGAAGCTAATACCAAAGTTACTAATGACACAAAAAGGAGAATAAAAAATAGGAAGTCTTTTCCTTGACGAGGAAACAAGATGTTACTTTGCATCATTTTGTAGGAAAATACTAAGAGATCTCAGATGAATGATTGGATGAGAATTAAATAATAAATAAATAATAAAATATAGTTTTTAAAACAAAAAAATTAAAAAAAGAAACTGAAGAAGAAATAAGAAGTCTTGAAATGGAAGAAGACTCAAAGAAAAAAGAACAACTTAAATTTCCTAACTTTCTTCAAAGATACACTACTCAGTATTATGTCCCTAATATCGATGACCACCAGTACTATGACCAATATATGTTTGATCATTCTAATGGATTAGTTATTATGGGTATTGCTCAATGCCATCCTGCATGTAAGGCAAAAGAAATATCTATTCAAATTGTTGTTGACCAAGGGAATAATAGGCCTGTTAAAGGAAAACATAAAACCAATGCAATTAAACTTAAATCAAAAACAGTTATTGTAAAAATTATTGCTGATAATGTTGAATATCCAATTTATGCAGGGTGTAGTGGTAAATTGATTGAACTTAATGAAGAACTTCTTAAGGATCCATCATTAATAAAAAAAGAGTCAGAAGGAAAAGGGTTTATTGCTATTATTCAAAGATCTACTACTGGTAAAGTTGATGAAATCAAAGCAATGAATTTAAAAGATTATTGCGAGTTAAGAAATATAGAAGTACCAAAATATATTCCATTACCAGTTGCTAATGAAGAGTACGATATTGATGATTATAGTTAATGTCATACTTATTCTGATTGATTGAATTTATGTATTTTATTTTTTTTTAAGATTTAATTAAAGTACTCTGTAACAATAAGTTTATTGTAAATTGACTTAAATCTTTAAAGATTAATAGGGTCATTCTTTTATTTATTGATAGACAAATGGTTGTGACTCAAGTAACTTATTGTTTTAACAAAAACAATTTGATAAGACTGGTTCAGTTCTAATTATCACTAATAATAGTTACAATATGAAAGTGTGCAAGATTCAATAACGCTTGTCATTAGCAATATAGTAATGAAAAAAAAATTTATATTTACTGACAGCACTAAAGCTAATGAAATTTTACTCTTATTTAATTTCAATATTTCACTCTCAAAACCAACGTTAATAATTTAAAATAAGATAAATGGTCAGATTTAAAGAAAATTATTATAACTATAATTAATAATAAAATTAACAGTGATAGAAAGGTCTTAAAAATATGAGCAAATTTAATTCATAAAAAGGATACTACATTTTGAAGATTAATAATTGGTAAATTTATTTTGTATCTAATAAATTCTAAATAAGTTTTTTAAAAAGGTTCATAGTTTTTTTGTTGGATATTATTGTATATCTTGTAACGTTATTCACATTAACCATATTATTGGTTAAGTGCAATTGTAAATTCTTTTTAATATATTATTGATTTATAAGATGTCGTTTATTTTGTTAATTAAACTATTTTTTGGTGGGTTATATTACTAATTAAAATAAAGATGTTTCAAACAACTATTTATTATTATTAAGCACATTCTTTACTTTAATTTTGAAGTCATTTAGAAAGAAATACAATTCATTTTAATAAATTTTCATATGCCCCTTTTTTCTGCTATATAATGAGTAATTTATCTATACAAATTTGAATAAAAATATTAAACAAACGTAAGACGTCATCATTGTTTAAATCAATAATATGTTTTCTTGTTTCATTTATTTTATTTTCACTGAATAAATATTGTTTAAAATCAACTCTTCTCTTTTGTTTTAAACATTCTATTAACCAATCTTGGCTAACAATAGGAACATTTTTAGTAGATGCCCACAGAATTAATTCTTTTGGAATACTTCCTTTGACGTGAACCATAATATTAACTAATGGTGTTAACCTAACTTTGAAAGTCGCTCCATTTACAATGCATTCATTTTTTAAATTAAAGTCTACTTCTCCATCGCAATAAATGCAATCGTTGCTAAAAATCTTTTGTGTTACTTGTTGATTTCTTAATGATTGGAAGGGATTTCCAACTACAAACTTAGAGAGTTTTTGAATAGAATGGAATTGTTGAATTAACTTATTGTCATATTGAAAGTTTATTTTTTTCTTTTCTTGATTTTGCTCTGGTTCTTTTTTTTTTTGTTGTTGTTGTTCTTCTTCTTCAAATAATTCTAAAACTTTATCTATCTCAATATCTTCATCGTCACTCCTATTATTTAGTAGAGATTTGTCAATGTCCATGAGTTGTGTATCTGAATTTACTGAGTTCATTTGAGTAAATTGAGTTTTAAAAAGAGAAGGTGAAGAGGTATTTATTTTGGTTATGAACGATGGTTTGTTTACAACAGGAGCAACAGGCGTTGAGGCTTTAGGAATACTAATACAATGTAAAAAATTTTGTTTAGTAATAACATTAGTTATAGGTTGTTGAGGACTAGTGTCTCTGGGAGTTGTATATTTTTTTTGAGTTACTGTGTTAGACAAGGAAATAGGTTTAGGAGAATGTACTGAAGACATTTTTTTATTAAAGGAACAC